TATGAAGTTATGTTCAATTTTTAAAATGAAGACATGTGTCACGTTTTTGTTGTGTAATATAATAAGAAAAGAAGTTGAATTTAATTCATAAGATGATTTTTTGTAAAGAAAAATTATCAAATGCCGAACAGACTAGAATTGGGTGGGATGAGTAAAACTGAGAAGTACGATCTAAAACTTAGAAGACCAATCTAAAGCTTAGTCAGGTTTTTATCATCTCATTGTCATCAAGTTGGGTGACAGCATAATATAGCAAGGTATCAATAACTTGTGCCTTAGACCAGGGGTGGGCAAACTGCGGCCCACAAAGCAAACTTGTGTGGCCCGTGGAAAATGACAATTTTGAATGAAGTTTTACTTGTTAATGCCCTAATTCGTTCTAAGCCCCCACAAAACTCAGACATAATATTTGTATAAATTATAATAATGGTTAAAACTTGCAGCAAATACATGTTCGAATTAGATTTCTGTAGAATATGTAGAAAAGGTACATGTGGAAAGAAGAAGAAATATTGAATAAAAACTACGAACTGTATATTTGTTGACCTTCGGCATTGGCCAACTAGGCTAGACTAAACGAAGACCGTGGAGAGTGGGAGGACGGCGCAGTCGGAAGAGAAAGCTAAAGTTGACAGCTGAGAGATAACGTAATGTAAAAATGAGCACACACACACATAAAATTCAAAATCTCCACCTTTCTTCATTTCATTTTACTTTTGTTTTAACTGTTATCGTTATCTCACTAAATTTTGCTAGAAACACATTGTACATGCCCACAGGAAACAAATTGGTCAATAGAATGACAGATAATTTATCGCCACATCGCACACAGCTGCTTTCGAATTACGACAAAAAAATAATAAAAATAATTGTAAAATGTTTTAAATCAAAAAATGAACAGGATTGTTATCATATGTGCATCATATTTTGTATGCTTATAAAGGCGAAAAACGATATTCGAAGGATGCGATATTAAAATATTGAATTCAAATGGGACATCCCTTCCTCAAGCACTGCATTAAATTAACCCACAATAAACGAATATCACTACGCTCGTTTTGCAAGTTTTCGGCTTTTCTTACGTAGAAAATCTTACATTGGCCGAAGCAATATTTTTACAAGAAGAATTTTTCGTAGTTGGATTTTTTTGTATCCAGAGCCTTTTATAGGTAGAGTTTCTAGGTGCGGCCCACGGCTTCACCCACTTATTAGTAACTAGCCCTCCTGTAATATAGATTTGATACCCCTGCCTTAGACCACAAAAGCTTTTTATGACCACGCTATATTTGAAAATGAGCTTTCTGTCCAAAAGGCAGATAATGTTGTGCCACTCAACGAGGAAATCTGAGATAATTTTTACTGCCCTTACTCTGTTACTTCGTCAAGCGTATTCAAATATCTATCTTTCTCGTTAATAGGTAATGTTTGAAAAGGGATAGAAATTCTTTACATATTTACAGTAATTTGGACTTTTTTCAATATATATAGATTTTGCTACACCAGAACTAGTTCAATTTCAGCATTACTTGTGGCTCTCGTTAGTCAGTGTGTAGTGAATACAAAATGTAAAAGAACAAACCGGCAGGATAAATCAAAGGTGTTTTGATATATAAAATTATTAAACTCTACACAACTCTGTCTGTTAGTATAAAACTTTATAATCCAATCATTCTGGGGAAGAATTTGAACTCTATGTTATCTAGACTTGAATCAACTTATAAAACTCACCAAGCACATAAAGTCGATTCTGGAATTCCCCAGCAGCAGGTTCATCTCTTGCACTCAGCATTGGTGAAATGAAAGTCCATGTTGACGTATTTAGATTGAAGCATTCCGCTTTGTTGGTTTCTCTTGATCCTTCATTTCCTCCCAAACTATAAATGCTTCCTGCAATTGCAAAAAAAAAATTCTGGCTCCTAGCATAACAGCAGCACATAATATTGGGATTTTAAATGAAAATGTGTAATATCTGATGTAATTTCTTAAAGTTTGTTCGAAGAAATATATCAACCACCTGTTCAAAAAGAAAAGCTTGATCAATAACAAAGCATTCGTTTTAAATACTAGCTTCATGAAGTAACATACATCTGTAGTTGAACATAAATAGTTCTCAATTGATGTTTGACTACAGATTTGTTTGAATACCGAAATATTTTTGCTACAAAAATATTGGAAATAATTTTAGTTAGTTCCAAACCACCATAATTATTAACAAAAAGTGTATCAAAACCACAATAATTATTTAACTGTATACATTATGAAGTTCAAACATAATAAAAATACAAAATTTTTGTATCGGTTATGTTTCAGCGTATTTCCGTATGGGATTCGTTTTTAGGTGCAATGAGGGTCTTTAAAATTGCACACCATGTGCCGGCTCCGCTTTTGTGTTAGTCGTAAAGGTTACCGTACTGGTAGTCTACAGTGACACATTGTATTACTGTACAATGATTTGGCTTTCGTGTCCATATATGTTTGTGTTCAAGCACTGAATTGTTGTTTGAGTACCGCAGCATTTTTGGCTATTGATCTCAAAAAATTAATATGATGGACGCCATGTATCCACACATGGACAATTAATATTTATCACTTGGCAACACTTCTTGTGTTAAATGGTTCCGAGTTCCGACGATCTCATATAAGGCGCAATTAATATTTATCTTGAACGACATTGATAATGAACTTATACTTTGCTCTTTTCCACTATACGTGATTATGTTTTGCAACATGACTAACGTGCTAAGCATTAGGAATAAACTCGTCATCGCACCTCTGATTAGCCTGTGTGGGTTCTGGGTCCGAATCAGGTCATGTAGGAATGATTATATGCGAGAGGATTGCTGGACTTCTCACCATCATAGGGTGGTTTGCAAAATTGCTGGTCGGTCATGGCTTTCTCCACCATCAAGTCCATGAATCTGAAAACAAATATGTGACTAACTAATACCAGACCCGAAATGAACTATTAAGCGGACAAGATGCCATGCTTTACCATATGAATAAGCCATATCAGCGGCCTCTCTCTCCCCCAGGATAAATATGTAAATTCTATCCTAAATGTTATAATATATATAATCTTTTCAAGGGTCTTGCATTGAAATTTAATTTTATCAAAAAAGCTACCATTCCATCATAGCCTATTGATGTTTGCATTCTTCTATTAGACAGCAATCATTAAAAAATATATGTTTTTAGTTAACTAAGAATATTTATTCGGCAGACGGCGCTTCGCTTTATTCAGTTTTAAACAGTCATTTGATGGGATTTTTCAACAAAAAGAGATATATATCCATCTGCATGTTAAGTACATTTGATAAAAAATGTTTATTATTATTATAAATTAATATATAATATATTATTCTATTCTTTTTTGTGATTAAAACTTGACTATTTCAAGTAATATTGTGCAATTTAAATTTCAGAAATGAAACGTTTGCCGATCTATGTTTTCAGACAGCTATGCTACTAAATAAAATGGAGATTGAATTATTACATCATAGACGCCTTGCTCTTAATGCATTTCATAGAATAATTAAAAAGCCAGAAAATTAGATCTACGATATCTTGCACAAGCACTCTGATCGAAAAATGATGGAGATGTTTTTTTCAACACTGAAACAAACTAAACAAAGACTATGTACTTACTGTCTGGCAACGTATTGGAGCATTAGATAAAATAACCTAATTTGAAGAAAATTTACCTTGCATGCAGATAACTGCAAGACCATCACATTCAACATTCTTTCTTATCATCTTTGTCCACTGGTTTCTCAGAGAATCATACTTTTCCACTGTTGTTGTGTCAGATCCACCACATCCACCAACAATCCAGATTTCACCTAATATGCAAATAGAACTTCAAATTGGATAATTAATCTTTTTTAAAATATGAATATATTAGGGCGGCATTGGCATAATGATAAAGGCATCACAAAGCTTTAATCCCCAAAACAGCAATCAAAATTCATCTGCTTAATCTGAATAGAAACTCTCACAAGTTCACAGTAGAGGTGGGGGTTATGGCCTCATGAGACGTGCAAGGTGGTAAGGGAAGGTTCTTGGGTTCAAGCCCCAGTTAATTCAGTGCAAGTCCATGACCATCATCTTTAAGCTTAGTATGAGGAATGGTACAATGTTTTTTACAAGATGTTGTATTGCATCACTATGAACACGGGATTGCAACAATATACGGAGATCTGGCAGGTTTGTAATTGTACCCGTGCTACTTAAACAAAAGCATAGATATAATTGGATTTAACCCAACATGCAATAATTTTAGTGCTTCCGATGTATGTGAACTAAGATTGCGGAAACCAGAACATATTATATGTTAGGGTTAGGGTTAGGCCATAATTTTATTCCAATTTTCCATATTTTAGTTCTATTACGAGTTTTGTTACTAGCCAAGTGACTTTCATAGTATTTTTACCTGAATACTACCAAAATTTCATTGTCATATTACATTAAAATTAATCATATTGGAAGGAATTTTATCCTGGGATTTGTTGAGAAACCTCCATTAATTTTCATTGCTATTTGTATACAATGGAAGCCAATGAAATGCCTTTACTGCACAAGAGTTGGGTATATCACGCAACTACAATTCAAGACTTTATGCTGACATTATGAATATTTTAAATTTGTGTTGAGAGGCAGAAAATGGTTTGAACAAATTTCACTCAAGTATATTGCCAACCTCTGATATTACAGATACTTTACAAATCTCAGACATGCCATGCTTTAACCTTAGTTGATTAATAGTTCGAAAACTAAATTTGTCATTGATATCAAATTATATAGATTCCGTAAGGAACCTTAATGATGCTATAAATTTTCGATTGCTTTAAATAAGAAATTGAAATATAAAGTGTTTATACACTGAACATAAGAAGTAGTAAATATCTGGAAAAGTCTGGAAAAACATTAGTATTTGGTAATATGAATTGAAATGAAGAAATAATCAACCAAACGTCATTAGTTGAGGTATATACACTACTAACCATCAACCAAAGTCATTGGTGGGTAATTGCCATGATTTTCCAACGGACTCTTCAATTCCTCCCATGTAGCATTAACATCGACATATTTGAGTCGATAGAATGAAGTTCTTCTAACTATGACATAAATATGCTGATTCATTGCAATAGCAGAGAATTTCCATTTCGTTATATCTTCATTCATTTTCTATATAACGAAAGAGTTTTGTGAGTTTCAGCTCATTACATGACACATATACAGAATGGGGGTTTGAGATTTCTGGGAACTCTACTGAGATCTCAGTTCGTGTTGCAAGTAAAGATCCATGGTTTAAACCTGATGACTATCACCAGGGATGTCAGTTTTGATTATTTTATTTTTGAATCAAATTAAAATGTGTAAATTCTAGTAATTTGGTATGGTATGAGATAATCGTTTAATAATGCTCATTTTCGACCTCCCAAACTGGCAGCATCAGTGTTCGTATTAATGGCTGCTTTGTTCAGAGCGAAGATGAGGATGACCCCATAAAAAAGTCATATTTTATGTTAAAATGAAGTCGGTTTATCTTTATCAATTATTCCTTCGTCACTATAATAGGCTTATTTGGTATATTCGCAATAATGTTTGCAAAGATTTGTTATTCAGTGTGGTCAGTTGGTCATGCAAAGCTGATTATGCTTACCTGCATTTGCTTCCATTCATTTGACCTTGGATTGAACTGTTTGAGATGGAAAGAGGTCCTATCAAAAACGACCAATGCGTCATCTGGTACAAGAAACAAAGGCTGTATTAGATATCTATAAAGCCATAAATATTACCAATCAATTACAGAGAATTTTCATTAGTCAATTTCGTTTTTCCTTACAGCCAGTCTATTATTTTTGCCACAATCAGTAAAGCTGTTTTACATAATGTGTGGCCATGATGCCCTATCCATATACAATTAACTAATGATTGCTCTTTTTATATAATACATTTTCAGTCATTGGTTTGCATTTTGACCAATAAATGTACTCTTGTCCAGTGTGCAGATGTGGGGTTGTGAAGTTGGGGAGAATTCACACCTGGGTCCAAAACCAAACTAAGGCCCATAAAATGACTTGGGTCCTGATTCCCAACTCGTAATTCACAAAAAAAATAATTCTGGATCCAATTTCAGGTTTGATAAAATTTCGACTTCTACAAAAATGTTGACCACAATAGCTGTGCTTCAAGCAAGCCTTCTTTGATTCTATGTTGAGAATATTCAGTCAACTTGATGCTCTTTGAGTTTTCCAACCGAAATTTTGACTACGATAATCGCCATTGAAATTTTGAAACAGAAGAAGAAAAATCTTTGAATAAGACTCCTGACTAACGAATGTTTGTAAAGCTGACTCCTGCTTCGAAACACAGAGTGGATGCTACCCTGCAGGCCTTACTTTACTATACAAATAGGTAATTATCTGGGGGTGATGTGTTAGTGGTCAAAGTTTTGCACCTGTGTATGGGATTGGGTACTGGATTGCCAAATCGGACATATCACGTTCTTTCCGAAAACACAATCTCGTTATGTATCAGTGTTTGCTTGAAGCTTATAATTGAGTAAAAACATGAATATTTGATGTTCATTGATTAAAATAATAAGAATCCTATTGAGTTGAATTACCTTCCAAAGCTGATGCAGAAGAACTTGATGCCAAAGAACTAGATGCAGAAGAGCTCGATGAAGCAGTCTTATCATCAATGAATGACAATGCTACGATTCGTAAAGTTTCTGTATTTGCAGCAATAAGACTCTGAAAACATAAAGATTCAGTGTTTAGTGTTTACTTCTTATGAGTTATGTTTGATTGTATATAAATATTTGTTTCGAAAAATTATCAGTCATGTGTGCAGTTGAATCAAAATGATATGTTAAAATTTACATTAAAACGTTTGGAAAAAATACAATTTTTCAAAATGGAAAATGTTTCCCGCTGGTATGTCTTTCAACACAACTTAGGATAAAATACATTCAGACATACCAGTGTTAAGGAAACCATATCTTTATAGATTGGAAAAATCTAATTCAAGGTCAATATAATAGGGAAAACAGCCATGAAGTAGTGAATTTCACATAACTGAAGAAGTCCTCAGAAAATAACTTTGGGCATTGGGCATAAATTATTTGTCCAGTCAGTACAATGACAGAAACTGGTGAGAAACTAAAAGACTTACATCTTGCTCTAGAAGATTTCTGCGATATGAAAGTGATATCTTGGTCAAATCCAGTTGCTTGAAAGATTTGACAAACCGCTTTGAACGTTTCTTCTCTTCAAATTTTGTCCAATTCATCAAGGCTAAGCATTTTTCCTCTTCAGTTGCCTAAAATGAATAAAAAAAATTTTATACTAAAAAAATATCCTGAAATATTTTCCAGTTCAGGAATCTGGTTATAAGGGTGAAGCGATTTTGAATGGTTTATGAAATATAAAAAACATAGTCCGGAAACTCAATATTATGAAACCACAAATCCATTGATTGATGACTACCAAGTACTTCTTAAGTAAGGAGAAAAGGCCTGTGCAAGCAAACATTTATGGGCCAAGTAAACATCAGCCTGGCTTGGCTGTGAGGCGCGTTGTGCTAAGCGCTGGAAATACGCTTCCATCACACCTCGGATTGTCTTGCGTGGAATCCAATGCAGGAATAGGTGTGTGCAAGGAGTTGCTGGACTCCTTGCCGCCGTGTGATGGTACATACCACTGGTCAGTTACAGCTTTTTAACCATCAAGTCCATGCAACTGAAAAAAATAACTGACTAACTAATCCCATGCCTGGCATGAACTAGTAACATGACGAGAGGCCGTAGTTTATCATATCATTGAGCTGTGTTATTGGCTTTTTTCTTCCTTGAGATAAATATATAAACTCAGTGGTACCCATTTTATGTATAATAAAGTGTAAACGTCAAAAAGAGTGTGACTGAAATATTAAATGAGAGTTTGAATAAATAATATTCCACTAACCGTGTTATCCTTGGCTTTGATCATTCCCACCAACTGTTTTTCATCTATTTTCTTGAATTCATCCAGTTCTGCAATTTTTGCAAAGTTGTTGGAAGCAATTTTATCACATTTGGCTTCGAGTTGTTTCAGATCGTACAACTTCGAGATATTTATGGTGATGAAGTAAGATTTGGGACCCAAATTCTGTTCCAGATATTCAGTGACAATACCACATAATTCTGAAAAAGATTTTTATTAAATAAAAAAGAAATCATTAAAAATTACATAATATAAGAAAAAACGGAGATATCCAGTGGTAAGTTTCACCATTATTTAACCCACTATGGCTCTAACCATTTTACCACAAAAATCCGAAGTATGTGAACCAAGATGGCGAACACTGAAACGTAGTATGTGTGCCAGGTTAGGGTTAGGCCTTAATTTCAGGTACAACGGAAGTCACTTGGATAGTACGCGAACTCGAAATAAAACTAAAATGAGGAAATTGGAATAAAATTAGGGCCCGACCTTAACCTGGTACACATACTTTGTACCGGTGTCCGCCATCTTGGTTCACATACTTCGGGAGTAAAACTAAAATCCTTTAGGTCAAGTGGGGCATCCTTGAATACAGGAGGGCCATTAAGAAATAACTTGGTGAAACTAGCGGGCCGCACTTTTATTCTACATGGATTTTCTGGTAGATGCAGACACAAAAATGTTGGTCATTGATCTTATGACATGCCTTGTTTGCCCAATCTAGTTGTTAAGGCATTGTTAAGCCATAGACATATATAAATTGGACTCGAGTATAGACTATTCCCAGTTGGAATAGTTTGAAAATAAAAACCAAAATTGTTTTGCTAATAAATACAAATATGTTCTAATGGTTTAGTAGTGTACGCTAAAATTGTTCGGCGGGCCGCACGGAATGTGTCGGCAGGCTGCATGCGGCCCGCAGTTTGGACCACCCTGATTTAGATTTAAAGTTGGAACCTCACAAATAGTCGAAATATTTTTATAACCTGGATTTGGGAGCCGGAGTCGGAGTCGAGAATTTTAGCAATCCGGATTCAATAGTTAGAACTGAAATAGTCTCATGAGTGGTTTAGAGTTTGGAATTGTGTGTAATTTTTTCTCGACTCCACGACCCTGGTTTTTATGATCAAATGCCACGTCTTGATATATGGAAAGACTCTCCACTTAATTGGTTTCAAATGAAGAGTTTCAAGGAAAAACGAACTCACTTTTCAGTTGGAACATATGAGAAGATTGCATATATGATGCGATATCAGATGTCTCATCAATGGGGAATTTGGAAGTATACATATACTCGATAACTTTCTCAATAGTATCCGCACTGAAGCCCTGGATATCAACTTCTCCTGACAGAGTCTCAACAGTCTGAAAAATAATTTTGGAGGTGTAAGTTGTAAGTAAATACATCACACTGTCAAGATTTGTCGCATATATCAATCGTGTACTATTTCATTGAAACCCTCTATTGCACTATCCATGTCTTTGGGAACCCTGGGAGGGTTTCTATATTTCCAGGGCAGATGTGTGTTGTCACATTATGTTGAGTTTAAGCCCTGCTTATTCCATGGTTAGGCCAATACTACCATCTTAACCTAGTATGAGTATTTTTGGGGCAATACTGGATTCCCTGTATTAGTAATTAGTATGTATTGGTAATCCTAGTCTCGCATGGTGGACTATCAACCCAGGATCACAACATACTACAGAACTAGGGTCATTGAATAGAAACTTCGATGAACATTTGTTCGTTTTTTTTTACGAGTTAGCTTTCACTTTTTATGACTTATATTTCACGGTTTTTATTGCAAACAAAGCAGTATAAGCAGTCACTAATAGCTAAGAATCTATTACTTTGGGAACAACCAGAATCTTTTCAGTTGGCATTGCCCATCCTGGGTGAGGTGGTGGGCATGACATTTTAACTGTGTTGACTGAGCCATAATGCCAGCTATTATATTTGTATTCAGATATTATAAATATACTGACCTCATGTCGAAACATTAATTTGAAATAATCAGTTGCAGTAGACAAAATAATCTTATGCACTCGGAATTTTTCTGAACCAACTTTGATCGTAAAATCACAATATAGACCAGCTTTCCTGTACCTGAAATAAAAATATATTCAATTTTAGTATCATCAATAATTTTTTGTATGAGGTTTGACTATGCTTCTACAACCATTGTGTCGACATGACTCATAGGTGTGAAAACAGTGACCTAGACCAGGGGTGTCGAACTCTCGGCCCGCGGGTCGCATGCGGCCCCAGAGAACTCCCAATGCGGCCCTCGAACGCTTAACAATAATTGTAATATTTTGGAAGTTTTCTTATCTAAATGTAATACATTTTCAAACCTTTCAAATTGAAATTGATTATTCACACACAAAACGACAATTTACTGAAAATAGTTTTTAAAAATCAAAATTTTATTTGTTTTCAATTTGACCCAATTATGGATACACCTCAAGCTAGAAAAAGTATATTTGAAGGAAGTTGGGATCTTTTATATATATTTAGATATATATTTAGAATAAGTCATTTTTAGTGTATGTATTATTCTTTCCTTATCAAAACTTTGTTCAAAAATGTTTTGGATAGTTGTACATAAAAATTTATGATTTTTTGTAATAAATACAGTAAATTACAATAACAGTTAAATGCAGAAAAATTAATATGTAAGTGGCATTTGAAATTTAGGAAAATAATAAATCTTCATTCAGCTGTTCAATTGCATCACAATGTATGTCACAAACTATACCTATCTAAAATATGCTTCAAGTATACATTATAAAAATATATCAAAAACTGTCTGCGGCTCTTTGCACAATTCCCAAAATGCAATGCGGCCCCCGAAAACCCACAAGTTTGACACCCCTGACCTAGACTGATATCCAGACAAACAAACCATGAACTGCAATATCGAATATTACAGAATTAAGAATGTTCTCTATATTTTACATTTGAACATGTTTCTTTGGAAGAGTAAATCACGCATCTCCGCCATCCCCACTGTCAAGTCTAATATGGGATAGGATTCATGTATTTATGCCGGGGGAGAGGAAAGCCACTAAGGTAGGCTTAATCATATGACAAATCATGGCCTCTCGTCCGGATACGAGTCCATGCAGGATATGGGATTAGTTAGTTAGTTGTTTTGTTTTCGGAAGCATGTACTTGATGGCGGAGTAAGCGGTAAGCGACCAGGGTTATGTGAACCACACCATGGCGACGAGGAGTCCAACAATTCTTCCGTACATACCTATCCTTGCATTGCATCAGACTTGCGACCCATGCAGGGTAATCAGAGGTGAGTTGGCAAACACATCACTAATGCTTAGCCAGATGCTCCACACCGCCAAGCCTGGCCTAAATCTAACATTTTAAATTAACTATATCGGACATTTCCTAAAGGTAACTACATCTGAATAGTACTGTAACATATTCTAGTTTGTTTGGACATTGAAAACAAATTCCGTTGTCTCAGTTGGCTATAGGGAGCTAGCTGTAATATAACCTGGCAAAGCTGCAACTGGTAACTAATTTTCATACATCAGTATTATGGAAAAGAATAAAAATTAACTCAAAGCAAGATCACTCACTCACAGGTAAAGGGTTCTTACCTCTACGCAATGTTACAGGCAACCACAATAAATAATTTACTAGGCAATGCCCAGTCATGAATGTTCCAATGTTCGAGGCAAAAGGCATGGATACGGAACAAATAAGAAATACGATTTCACAGATTTCAATGTACCGTATCCAACAATATGGGTTGTCGAAAAGTAGTTGTTTTCAAGTCTAGGACAAAGATATGTTTTATAAACAATTTACAATATTCATTTTTTTTTCGAGCATAATACCTCCACGTCTTGCAAAACCCGTCTACAAAATTATTTGATTTTCTGTATGAGGGATATTTTTCAGTTGAAAATTTGTCTACGTGTTTCTGTATGTTATTACCGGTACATCAGTATCTTTTTAGGGCAGTAGTTTTATGTTTTCATGGTCAAACTCTAACTTGTATCCATAATTAGCAACATATCTGCATCCAACCCCAACCTGTAATAAATTCCACAGGAATAATATCCAATTCGATATCTCGAAGACCGCAGGTATACTTATACAAAAAGGTTTTCAGAGACTATAATTTAACAATTTTTCTCAAGAATAGTGTTCCCCTTTTTAACAATATTTTCTGGCTACACAGTCTCTATAAGTATAAACTGTACCATTCAATAGTTATTATTTGGTAAACTACACTAAACAAAGATTCTTATGGCTTTTTTCTCTGAAATTGTTTCTAAAGATGGCAAATTATATTATACCTATACAGCCAAGGTGATTTTAACAAGGGAACACTGAATTTTTATTTGCCATATTATAAGTACCTAAGTTGCCTTATCAGCTTAGTCAATAGTAAGTTCTTACACATCAGCGAATGCTTCCTTGTTGCCTTATTCAGAAAGAAAAACAATTTACAATATTCATTTTTTTTTCGAGCATAATACCTCCACGTCTTGCAAAACCCGTCTACAAAATTATTTGATTTTCTGTATGAGGGATATTTTTCAGTTGAAAATTTGTCTACGTGTTTCTGTATGTTATTACCGGTACATCAGTATCTTTTTAGGGCAGTAGTTTTATGTTTTCATGGTCAAACTCTAACTTGTATCCATAATTAGCAACATATCTGCATCCAACCCCAACCTGTAATAAATTCCACAGGAATAATATCCAATTCGATATCTCGAAGACCGCAGGTATACTTATACAAAAAGGTTTTCAGAGACTATAATTTAACAATTTTTCTCAAGAATAGTGTTCCCCTTTTTAACAATATTTTCTGGCTACACAGTCTCTATAAACTTTACCATTCAATAGGTATTATTTGGTATACTACACTGAACATAGTTTCTTATGGCATTTTTCGCTGAAATAGTTTCTAGAGATGGCAAATTATATTATATACAGCCAAGGTGATTTTAACATGGGAGCACTGAATTTTTATTTGCCATATTATAAGTACCTAAGTTGCCTTATCAGCTTAGTCAATAGTAAGATCTTACACATCAGCGAATGCTTCCTTGTTGCCTTATTCAGAAAGAAAAACAGTTTACAATATTCATTTTTTTTTCGAGCATAATACCACCACATCTTTCAAAACCCGTCCACAAAATGATTTGATTTCTGTATGAGAGATTGTATATTTTTCATTTGAAATATTTTCTGCGTGTATGTTATTACCAGAACATCAGTATTATTTTAAGGCAGTAGTTTTATGTTTTCATGGTCAAAATCTAACTTGTATTCATAATTAGCAACATGTCTGAAACCAACCAGACCTGGAATAAATTCCACAGGAATAATATCCAATTCAATATCTCAAAGACCACAGGTATACTTATACAAAACTTTCCGAGACTAGAATTTAACAAATTTTTCTTAAGAATAGTGCTCCCCTTTTTAACAATATTTTCTGACTACACAGTTTCCATAAACTGTACCATAAAGTTATTATTTGGTAAACTACACTAAACGAAGTTCCTTATGGTATTTTTCTTTGGAATAGTCTCTGTAGAAAGCACAGTATATATACAGACAAGGTGATTTAAACATGGGAACACTGAATTTTTGTTTGTTGTGTTATAATTATGTTGACCCATCAGCTTAGTAAATAGTGAACTCCTACAGCGTCTATGTAGTGAACCACCTGATGGCGGCAAGGAGTCCAGCAATCCTCTCGCACATAACTATCCCAGCATTGAATTAGAACCTGAAAACCTATGCAGGGTAATCAGAGGTACGGTGGCGAGGATATTCCTAATGCTTAACCAGATGCCGCCAAGCCTGGTACAAAACTAAAACATTTGAAATTCATTATATCAGACATTTCTAAGATTAACTACATCTGGATTTTTAGTTTGATATTCTAGTTTGTTCCTGTCTCAGGTGGCCGTAATATACCCTGGCAAAGCTACACTGGTAAATAATTCTCATACATCGGTCTTATAGAGAAGATTAAAAATTTCATCATGGCAAGGTCACTCACTCACATTTCAAGGGTATTTATCTGTGGGCAATTTCACAGGCGACCACAATAAATAGATTCACTAGCAGTGGCGGCGCGTGGTCATTTTGACAACCGGGGCAAGCTACTGCGGGACCAAGTCACCCCCAGCTACGGGGACAGGATGAGCGCTGTAAGTTCTCCCATCATTTTATGAGTATAAAAACCATTCCATCGGTAACAACCAATCGGCAAAAGCGACAATTTTTAACGATAAGAAAGTGTCTTTAAAACCGGTCCAAGTCAAGCGATTAATAAATATAGACATTGAAACCTCTTTCAAAAGGAAAGGCAATATTTACCCAGATAAATACAATGATATATTAACAGAAACTTCGGGAAAGCAGACAAAACCTAAAATAAGATTTAAAACGTTACTATGAAGAAAGGAAAGTTAATTCAAAGATAAGGACATGCGTCGCTCACTCATAGATATATATGCTGCTAGACTTGTACTGCTTGAACATATATGCAACACGCCGCGGTTTCTTGGAAGCAAAATGCTCAATAACGCGCGGATTAAAGTCATGCATCCCAGAAATAACGTCTCTGTGAATGGATAAAACAGCCAAGGAATTTAATCTATCTTGCTTCATTGTGTTTCTGAGATACGTTTCAATACGCTTCAGCGTGCTGAATGTTCGCTCTGCGTCGGCGGAAGAAATAGGCGTCGTCAAAATGATGTCCAGAAATTTTGCAGACGCCGCAAAGGTAGTTACTAGAGTGTTATCTATGAGGAACCCATAGAGCGCGCAAGTTGATGTGATGTCCAAAAAGGGTTGATTGGTGTATATACATCGCAATTCACTTTCCAATTTACCCACGTTTATCATGGGGTAAAATTTGGAGACAGTAGCCAACAAATGGATGGGAAATTGACGTGCAAATTTTGAAAAATTTTTGGGGTTCATCAAAGAGAACGCGGCAAGGTGTTCAGTGCGCAGACGATCGCCTATTTGATTCACCAAAATGTCACATCATTCCTTTGCAGACAAAATCAAACTCTGCGTTGTTTGCCCGCGGCGTAAAGAAGCACTCC